AGGATTTATGACACCTTGCGCATTGTATTAACGATAAAGGGTGCCATGTACGTAGTATTTCGTCGTTTTGTCATATAGCGTCACATATGATGCTAAAGGATGAGAACATGCTGGATAATCCCATAGAAATATAGGCGTCCATGTAATCATCATGTCATGGACATTTCCACTTACTGGCCTTAACAGATAATGAGGTCTTTAAAACTGAAGTGAGCTAAATCTACCCGATCTCGCTGCAATTCGTACAAATATTATGAGGTGGCTAATTCGTACGAATTCATACAACCTCACTCTTACGAATTTGTAAGATTTTTGCTAAATCGTACATATCTTACGAGTTGCCTAATTCGTATGAATTACCTACCCCTGACCCCGCCCCAAAACCTACCCATCACTGGGGACAGATTGTACGAATTTGTACAAGTGAGAAAGCGTTAGAGTATGCGTTTGCTTTTAAAAATGCGAACAAAATGGAAAAGCGTGTGTATCAAGGCGGGTTTTCACAACTTTAAAGGGATACTCCACCTGTTTTTCATATTAAACTATGTTATTCCCTTAACTAAGACGAGTTGATACCTCTCTCGCCTCAGTGCGTGCATATCGCTCTGTCTTGCCACGAAACTTTGTTAGCACTTAGCTTAGCCCAGTTCATTAAATATGGGCCAAAAAGAGAAGCGGCCAAACACCTCCTCGTTTTCCCTATTTAAATACAGTTACTCGTGTAGTGTAACTCGACCTAGGCTGGTGACACAAAATAAAACGTTGCGATTTTCTCCTCTCCTGCTCCCTCTCATTTCCGTCAATAGAACCAACGTGACATGCACCTGTAATAGTAGTTTGAGCGGAGTTGACGAAGTATCAAACGTTGGAAGATAGTTTGTGGACAATCATGGTTAAAACGTGCATCGTAAAGGGTTGTGATAACAAGGAGAATGTACATAGTGGCGTCATTTTTCACCGAATTCCAACACACCACATAACGTAACAGTGGAGAGTGGTTAGCTGCTGTGAACAAGAATCCAAAAACACCGTTGATGACTGAAGTGGCGTGTTTGCTCAGAGAATTTCACAAAGGAGGACTATACCTGAACAGGAACCCGCTTAAAGGATGAGGCTACACCGACAATATTCAGCTGAGTAACATATCTGTGAAATCAGTGCACTTCTGAGACAGGCAATAAGAGGTGACTGTTTTATTTACAAAATGACTAAGCTCAGAAATAAAATTGTAAAACCTTATAAGTATAACCGTATATACTCCGCTCAAACTACTACTACAGGTGCATGTCACGTTGGTTCTATTGACGAAAATGAGATGGAGCGGTGGAAGGTACTTTTCACGAGTGATGATATTACTGCGCCAAGTCGAAGTGCTCCCAAGCACTTGCTGTATTCCGCCATACAATATAGTTATCAATTTTAAACGTTTTATTTTGTGTCACCAGCCTAGGTCGAGTTACACTACACGAGTAACTGTATTTAAATAGGGAAAACAAGAAGGTGTTTGGTTGCTTCTCTTTTTGGCCCATATTTATGAACTGTGCTAAGCTAAGTGCTAACAAAGTTTCGCGGCAAGACAGAGCGCTATAGTGCACGCAGAGGTATCAACTCGTCTTAGTTAAGGAAATAGCATAGTTTAATATGAAAAAACAGTGGAGTATCCCTTTAAGTTTTAATTTGACATGTTGTTTTAAAAACTGAAAAAGCAGATGAGGCATGATCAAAACATCTATGTTTAGATCACAAACAACCTCTTTTCCATCAGCACTAGCCTAGGGAAAAGAATTTAAATTAAGTGCAAGAATTTACATTCAAATCTACATATTTTGACGTTTATACCTTCACACAAATATCTTCACAATTATTAGGTGAATTTGACTTAAGCCACCAAAGTAGCTACTCACCAATGGGCTCTATGCACGGCGGTATTTCCGGTGAAGCATTAGGGATGCTCGATAACTTCCGCCGATCATAGAGTCCAATGCAATACCGAGAATTTATATTGAATTTTATACTCCATGGTTATACTAATGAAACGTTAGTCACAAAAACAGATAAAACAGACACCCCTCGTTGTGTTTATGCTTCTTTTTAAAATTATATTAAATAAACATAACTATATATAAAATTACATCTAAACGCATGTACGTTTCGTTTCAAAGACGGGAGGACAGTAAATATTGAAGACTCTGCCATAATCCCGTTTTCTCCGGTTTTCCTCCGCTTTAATCTACACAACCGGAAATGGACGAGCATCCTTACGTCAAATGCGGAACTTATGCGTGCATATAGCCCATTGCAGATTACAAGAGGACAATGCATCTGATGTTATCTTCTGAGCTAATCTGAGATGTGTACGAAGTCTGTAGTCTTATGTTTCATACATAATAGAGCTCCATTATGATTGCTCTTGATGAGGAGCTTAATATGTTCGCTATTCGCTCATGTGCTCAGTACATGCGCAGGTCAACTCAATCTGCTTTTCCAGCCTTGTTACACTTATATTTGTGCTGTTATAAATCATTCTAACTCAAACTTTCTGGGAAAATGTTTTAAGATAAAAACTGGCAGTCATGTACATATATTTTGCCCATGTGGCATCACAAATTCCAAAATATCCAAACAAGCCTCTTTTGAGCTTAAATAAATGCTCTTTTTGAATTGGGAATAACGTTTCAAGCCATAAAATTTGCAGGATATCTTGATGGTGTAAATACCATATATTTGAGTAAAAAAGATCAGGGAATATTAAGATTTCTTGTATAATTTTCCCACACTTTTGGCCCTGCGATGAAGGGGCCCCAGCCAGCCGCCCTACTATGGTTCTCTGGTATAGCTCATTAATTAGACATAAGAAAAAAAGGGGCCAACCTTAAAATGTATGTCCCTAGTCACTACAATTTTGCTTGACTTCATATAAGTTCTTCTCAAATTTAAAAAAGAAATGGCATCAGCAAGGATTTACTCAGATCTTGAAGCTGATCCTTGCTCTGTGCGATGACACGTTACATCTTTGTGTTTATACCATGACGTGAAATGGTTACAGACCATAATCTAGACAGGAGATGACGGAAGGTTGGACACCTTTGCCAGCCATTGACTGAGAAACCCCAAGTATTTTGACATCTTCACTGTGAGATGAATGAAACCAATGCAGCCATGCTGTGGAAATACTCACATTTCACTCTGTGAAGTAAAAGATGGATTTAAAAAGTAAAGGGTACAGGGATTTACACGTTTTTTAAAAGAATAAATGTCAGCAATAACCTGCACCTTTTATATTCACTGAGCCTATTTCTATTTAAAGCAGAGGTGAAATTATACAGCGTATAAAGTATTTTTTTAAAAAAATATATGTTTAGTTGTATTTTACATATGGAAAGTTAGCTAATTTAAAAAAAAAAAAATAAAGCTGTGAAATGACATTATCCTCTTTGCTGTACATAATCTCAGTGTGACAGGGTGTTTATTCAGAATAAATTGCGTCCCAGATCTCTAACTGGATCGCTGTCTAGATAGAACATGCTTGAATACTTCATTTCAACACATATTCAGATAAACGTACCCAACGATTACCTCTGATGGAGATGTCGGTATCATATTGAGATGGATCGCTGCGTGATGATATGGGTCTACACTCAGGTGGATCAATGAACGGTCTGGGATTGAAAATGGAAGGATGAGGGCTGGAGAGGTGCTCGGTTGAATTATAGCACTGTGCCCTTTCGAAATGGGGCCTCTGGCTCTTTTTTTTTTTTTTTTTAAATGAACTCCTTTTAACATACCTCAGCAAATAGATTTAATTGATTTTCTCCTAGAACTGTGATTATATGGGCTTAGTATAAATATTTTGCAACCAGTCCAAAATATGATGCAGTGTACTTGTTGCGCCATTGCACATGTTTTTTAAATGTCAGCTAAATCAAATGATGGTTGGGCTGCTCTTAGTGAAACATAAGCCACAAAAATTTTGAGTATACAATACATCACATAGGACATTTATTAAATATTGCACACTTAAGGATTTTTTGAATTACTACAGGTATGACTGTGATATGTAGCTACTTGTTTTACTGGTTTGTAGGCTAAAAAAAGAATAGATGAAGACTGATTGCTAATGAAACTGGGAAATGAGCTTGAGAAAAAGGAAATTAAAAGAAAAAAGAGCATAAACCATAATTTTTTGCTTGAATATGGCCCTTTTTATTTACGAAATCCATATCTGTGTCTGGGGTCTAATCAATAAAATGTGTTAAAAAGGATTGGAATGGAAAAGCTCCATTATAGCTGGGCACAGGGCCAGGACGGGCTGCAGCATTTTCCCATGTGGGTCTGAGGATCTTGATATCCTTCGCAATTGGGTAACAGACCATGATGAAAGCAGCTGACTGAATGTCTTGAGTTATTTCACTCATAATTTGGTTTAGAACACCATCACTCTGCTTATCATTAACATTACCAATGAGACAATAGATGAAGAGAAAGTATAGTTCGCCAAACTGGTCAATTTCGAACAGATTTATTTTTAGGTTATGCGTACTGAGCTTATTACACTTATTTTATTTTACTAAAGAATACATGTAAAAGCATAGTATATTTCATTTTTATCTGTTTACTATTTTGTCACATTTTATATCAGAAGGTAGTCAAATAATTTGAACTTTTTTTGTGGTACTGAAAAATAATAGAGTTCCCCCAAATAATACCTTTGTGGAATTAATGGATTTTGCACGCTCGTGTTTTGACAAAATGTTCTTCCCTTCTTGAGATCCAAATAATCTCCCTGCCACAGTTCACTTGATTTACCTGGCCATAAACCATCTCTCTGTCGGACAAGGAATCTCTATAGCTTCTCTTCTCGCTATGAATAACCGTTTCTCCACACATTTGGCCCCAAGCATGTTTTTGACAAAGACACACACCGTGTGGAGCTTCACCTGAATAACTTTTCCACATTTTTGTGCCAGTTTGTTCAAGGTCACAAAGGAACAACATCAGGCTTTAAATGAACCAGCATCTTTTATTAGTGCCATATGATGAAGATGAACCAAAGAATGTTCCATAATGAGATTCCCAGCCTTTAAAATACCAAGGGCTTTCTTACCAGGGCCTGGAGCGGGACCCCTCAAACACCTCTTCTACCCCATTCCCACATCATCAGCCCTAATGTTCATGATCATAACCACCGGGATTCCTTATAAACACACCATATTATACATAAAGCAGATCAGCTGTGATGACGCCAGAACAATGTCTTAAGTCAATGTCTGAAGATTGTTTAGTTGAAGTAGCTTATGTCCAAATAGCAAATACTGCATTTGATTTTGTGCTATGAACTTTGAGAAAAGTATTGTTTATTTCCACCTAAAGGCATTACCATTCCATTATTGATTAGAAATAGCCTATGTCTTCTCTTCAGTCAAGTTGAACAGAATGATATTAAATCCTTGTTTTCCTCAAGGGGATCTCCAAATGGTTGAAGTGATGCATGAGGAACTATAAAAGACAGAAGAGAAAGCTTCATTTCTCTCCGCTCCACATTTCATCAAGAATTGATTTTGGAGTGCTGGAAGGTAATTTGGGCTTTAGAAACTTGTTGAATCTAGTCTTCTGAATTCGCTCTCACCCCAACCCCCACAAAAATATGATTTTACACTGAAACTCTCAATGAATAGCACAGTTTCATATTGACTCTGTGTGACGCTATGTACATATGTACAGGTACATTTTCCACTGGCCTTTGTGTTTGACTAACCACATTCATTTCTACAAAAGTGCCTTGCGAATTCAGATTCTGTTGGTTTTACTGGCGGTTCCACGGAAACAGAGAAAACACGATGACTTCAGTGTTAGAGAAATGAGGCCAGTTTGGCCGATTTCTTCAGCTCTGTAGCTGAATATGTTCCAGACTGTTCAAACTCATGAGCCCGTCAGAATAGATGTCCTAAAAGTCTTTAGTCTGTTTACTCATTACAGCTGAGACAGATGCTAAGAAAGATACAAATCCAGACAGGTAGCGACGCCGCAGCAAACGCTCGAGCAGAGTTCTGGTGTGTGTCGAAGGACGCAGTGGAGTCAGACCAAAGTCTCACCTTTACAGAGTCCTGAAGAACAAGAAGAGAAAGTATCATCAGTCTAGTTTACAATGGGAATTGCAATCTAGACTACATTTGTATTACCCAACAGAAATATGAATGGCTTCATGTAGGTTTGGTTATATTCACACCAGGGTCAGAAATGAACTTTCCAATTAAGGGGCAACATGGAATTGCCCCAAGAGGACAACGGCCTGTTCTTTTTTTAAAATGCTTCTCATTAAAAGTTTGCGATGACTTCATTAAATACAGTCATCGCAAGTTTGGTAATGGCACTAAGCCAAATCACAATCTTGTTTTTTTTTTTTTTTTCAATCATGCAGCCCTGGTTTTACTGTAACACATGGGTCAGGAACCTATGGCTCTTTTACAAAGAAGTCATGTGGCTTGCCAGATCTCTTACCCTTTTATGGAAGCTTGTTTCCGCCACTGAATTAAAAAAAGAAAAAAATAATTGCGACTTTTCATCTCACAATTGCGAGATATGAATAAACTCAGAATTGCGAGATATAAAGTCGCAATTGCGTGATATAAAGTCGCAATTGCGTGTTAGAAAGTCAGAATTGCGAGATATAAAGTCAGAATTGTGAGATATAAAGTCAGAATTGCGAGATATAAAGTCAGAATTGCGAGATATAAAGTCGCAATTGTGTGTTAGAAAGTCAGAATTGCGAGATATAAAGTCAGAATTGCGAGATATAAAGTCAGAATTGCGAGATAAAAAGTCAGAATTGGGAGATATAAAGTCAGAATTGCGAGATATAAAGTCAGAATTGGGAGATATAAAGTCAGAATTGGGAGATATAAAGTCAGAATTGCGAGATATAAAGTCAGAATTGTGTGATATAAAGTCAGAATTGCGAGATATAAAGTCAGAATTGCGAGATATAAAGTCAGAATTGGGAGATATAAAGTCAGAATTGCGAGATATAAAGTCAGAATTGCGAGATATAAAGTCAGAATTGGGAGATATAAAGTCAGAATTGCGAGATATAAAGTCAGAATTGGGAGATATAAATTCAGAATTGCGAGATATAAAGTCAGAATTGCGAGATATAAAGTCAGAATTGCGTGTTAGAAAGTCAGAATTGCAAGATATAAAGTCAGAATTGTGAGATATAAAGTCAGAATTGGGAGATATAAAGTCAGAATTGGGAGATATAAAGTCAGAATTGCGAGATATAAAGTCAGAATTGCGAGATATAAAGTCAGAATTGGGAGATATAAAGTCAGAATTGCGAGATATAAAGTCAGAATTGTGTGATATAAAGTCAGAATTGCGAGATATAAAGTCAGAATTGCGAGATATAAAGTCGCAATTGCGTGTTAGAAAGTCAGAATTGCGAGATATAAAGTCAGAATTGCGTGATATAAAGTCGCAATTGCGTGTTAGAAAGTCAGAATTGCGAGATATAAAGTCAGAATTGTGAGATATAAAGTCAGAATTGCGAGATATAAAGTCAGAATTGCGAGATATAAAGTCAGAATTGCGAGATATAAAGTCAGAATTGCGAGATAAAAAGTCAGAATTGGGAGATATAAAGTCAGAATTGCGAGATATAAAGTCAGAATTGCGAGATATAAAGTCAGAATTGGGAGATATAAAGTCAGAATTGCGAGATATAAAGTCAGAATTGCGAGATATAAAGTCAGAATTGCGAGATATAAAGTCAGAATTGGGAGATATAAAGTCAGAATTGCGAGATATAAAGTCAGAATTGCGAGATATAAAGTCAGAATTGGGAGATATAATGTCAGAATTGCGAGATATAAAGTCAGAATTGGGAGATATAAAGTCAGAATTGCGAGATATAAAGTCAGAATTGCGTGTTAGAAAGTCAGAATTGCGAGATATAAAGTCAGAATTGTGAGATATAAAGTCAGAATTGGGAGATATAAAGTCAGAATTGGGAGATATAAAGTCAGAATTGCGAGATATAAAGTCAGAATTGCGAGATATAAAGTCAGAATTGGGAGATATAAAGTCAGAATTGCGAGATATAAAGTCAGAATTGGGAGATATAAAGTCAGAATTGCGAGATATAAAGTCAGAATTGTGAGATATAAAGTCAGAATTGGGAGATATAAAGTCAGAATTGGGAGATATAAAGTCAGAATTGCGAGATATAAAGTCAGAATTGGGAGATATAAAGTCAGAATTGCGAGATATAAAGTCAGAATTGCGAGATATAAAGTCAGAATTGGGAGATATAAAGTCAGAATTGCGAGATATAAAGTCAGAATTGCGAGATAAAAAGTCAGAATTGGGAGATATAAAGTCAGAATTGCGAGATATAAAGTCAGAATTGCGCGATATAAAGTCAGAATTGGGAGATATAAAGTCAGAATTGCGAGATATAAAGTCAGAATTGCGAGATATAAAGTCAGAATTGCGAGATATAAAGTCAGAATTGGGAGATATAAAGTCAGAATTGCGAGATATAAAGTCAGAATTGGGAGATATAAAGTCAGAATTGCGAGATATAAAGTCAGAATTGGGAGATATAAAGTCAGAATTGCGAGATATAAAGTCAGAATTGCGTGTTAGAAAGTCAGAATTGCGAGATATAAAGTCAGAATTGTGAGATATAAAGTCAGAATTGGGAGATATAAAGTCAGAATTGGGAGATATAAAGTCAGAATTGCGAGATATAAAGTCAGAATTGCGAGATATAAAGTCAGAATTGGGAGATATAAAGTCAGAATTGCGAGATATAAAGTCAGAATTGTGTGATATAAAGTCAGAATTGCGAGATATAAAGTCAGAATTGCGAGATATAAAGTCGCAATTGCGTGTTAGAAAGTCAGAATTGCGAGATATAAAGTCAGAATTGCGAGATATAAAGTCAGAATTGCGAGATATAAAGTCAGAATTGCGAGATATAAAGTCAGAATTGCGAGATATAAAGTCAGAATTGCGAGATATAAAGTCAGAATTGGGAGATAAAAAGTCAGAATTGGGAGATAAAAAGTCAGAATTGCAAGATATAAAGTCAGAATTGCGTGATATAAAGTCAGAATTGCGAGATATAAAGTCAGAATTGCGTGATATAAAGTCACAATTGCGTGTTATAAAGTCAGAAAAAAGAAAAAAGTGTGACTTTTTATCTCACAATTCTGACATTTTTCTAACAATTGCGAGTTTATATCTCGCAATTGTGACTTTATAACACATAATTGCGATTTATTTAATTTATATGTCGAAATTATGACATCTTTTCTCAGAATTGTGAGATATAAACTCGCAATTGCGAGTTATCAGGCCAATTCTAAGGGGGAAAAAAGACTAACTTTTTTCCCCCTCAGAATAGTTTAAATCTCACAATTCTGACTTTATAGCATGCATTTCTGACTTTATAACACACAATTGCGACTTTTTATCTAGCAATTCTTACTTTACATCTTGCAATTCTGACTTTATATCAAGCAATTGCGACTTTATATTACGCAATTCTGACTTTACATCTCGCAATTTTGAGAAATAAAGTCAGAATTGCGAGATGTAAACTCACAATTGTGAGGAAAAAGTCAGAATTGTGAGATAAAAAGTCGCAATTACCTTTATCTTCTGTGGCAGAAACAAGCTTCCATACCCTTTACCAACAAATGAACTATAAAAAATTAGACACATCTCTAGAGATCAGCTTTCTGAAGAAAAATCACTATTCCTTTGTTGTACTGAAGTTAATGAACAGCCTAGAATAATAATATATGTCAAGTTGTACCAGCCAAAGTGTGTATTCAATGCTGTTCGGAAGTGTCAAGACAGAAATCAAAGGCAAATCGCATATTTCTATGGTAAGCTTGAGCTCCTGCACTCAGGCTACATGGCTTGTTTGTGGTAATGGCGAAAATACAGATTTTTAGAAGAGCAGTGAACATTTAAATGTAAATAACAAAAGTGACTGGACTAAACACATCCTTTTATTAAAAATGGTGCTCTGCAGTGCCGAGACATTTCGAAAAATTTCAAAAGGGGACTTTTGCTTTTGCCGCAGAGACATTTTATGCCCTTTAAATGTGTCATATTCACGTCCGTATGATAATCTGTGCAGCTTTCAGATATTAATAAAGAAACTTAATAAAGAATGGGGTATGATGAGAAAGTAAAGAGTGGGATGTGCTTGATATTAAAAGTGCAATAAGCCGCTACCGCTACTGCTTTCTGTGCACACGCTCCGAGCTTTTTGCCCTATTTGGACGGGACTAGTTTTCCAGGTAATTAGAGTTTTCCCTAGTTTTCCCACATTAGAGAAATGTGTGTTTCACTGACATACTTTGTGATTTTAATCCCATCTGAATCTGAACTCTGTGTTTTTCTCACACAACCTCTGAAATAATTACAGGGCAAATGACCTACTGTTTGTCGGCAAAGTCAATGGTCTTCTGACAAATTTAATCCCAATGTCTGTAATTGCTGATGTTGTATCATCCTAACGCTTCCCCTCATGTTTTTGACCTACCAGGTGCACACCAATTTTCAGCATGCTTTCTTTTCATTTCAATACGGATGGTCAGGGGTAGGTCATTCGTACGAATTCACATGAATTGACCAATTTGTAAAATATGTACGATTTAGCAAAAATCATACTAATTCATACGAGTGTAGCCACCTCGTAAAATTCGTACAAATTCCCGTGAGATCGGGTTGTGTGTCCTGGCCTTAAAGGGTTAGTTCACCCAAAAATGAAAATTCTGTCAGTATTTACTCACCCTCATGTTGTTTCAACCCCGTAAGACCTTCGTTCATCTTCGGAACACAAATTAAGATATTTAAGATATTAAGATCGCTCCTGCATACAGTCCATAGGCTTCTTGAGGTACTGGCTCTTGCTGTCCTCGAAAAGTCATTAAAGACATCGTTAAAATAGTCCAAGTGACTACAGGGGCTCAATCTTAAGTTTATCAAACGACGAGAACACTTTTGTGCGCAAAAAAACAACAAAAATAACGACTTTATTTCAACTATCACTTTCTTCTCCATGAGCCTGTAAGTCAGTTAACGTAGTGTGATTGCGTAGAGCTACGTCACACGTAGGCTCACTATTGGCCGACGCTGGTCATGTGTGTGTGATGCTGTGTGACGTACAATAACAGAAGCTTACGCTATTAAACTAGTAACCTGACTCGCGCAGAGGGAGAAATAAACGAATAGTTGAAATAAAGTCGTTATTTTTGTTGTTTTTTTGCGCACAAAAGTGTTCTCGTCGTTTGATAAACTTAAGATTGAGCCCCTGTAGTCACTTGGACTATTTTAACGATGTCTTTAATGACTTTTCGAGGACAGCAAGAGCCAGTACCTCAAGAAGCCTATGGACTGTATGCAGGAGCGATCTTAATATCTTAAATATCTTAATTTGTGTTCCGAAGATGAACGAAGGTCTTACGGGGTTGAAACAACATGAGGGTGAGTAAATACTGACAGAATTTTCATTTTTGGGTGAACTAACCCTTTAAGCGGTCAAATATACACATAAATATGTCAAAAAAGTCCACCTTAGTGAGTATTAATGTAAACACAGCAAACTCTGTGCATTGTTCTTCACTCACTAACATGCACAAACTCTGAAGAGGATTGATGCTCCTCATTTGGTAAGTCAATCTCACACAATTAATTACATTTAGCAAATGATGATTTATTGTTTGCTGCATATTTATTTGTTTGTTTTTAGTCGACTATGGATCTAACAAAGTTATTGGGGGGGAAATTATGTGTTTTAATAATATTGCTAAGGCTCTTTTGGTAAAAATCAACCGAAATTCGGCATCAACCGAAAATGAACAAATGGCTCTTTGGTCAAAAAAGGCTCCCGACCGCTGCTGCAAGAGAATCCCCATTTGCCATTTTATAAGGGCATAAAGCTCTAGTCTAGAGAAATCAGCCCAATTTTGCAATCTCTCAGCATCTCAGATGAAATACCTCTTCATTGTGTAAAAAGCCAGTTTCTTTGGTGCCACACGTCAATCAAAGTAGTTAGAAGCTCAAAAACCAAATTGCTCTACATCTCTAACCCTCACCTGTGTGGGTTTAGCTGGGCTCAGAATGTTCTGTTCGGTCTCCATGGTGACAAACGCTGGAGTCGTCCGGCGTGGCCCTCTGTCCGTCACAGGACTTAACCGCGGCAGTTGGGGAGGAGTGGGCGTGAAATCCATTCCATTCCCAAACGTCAGGAGAGCGTTCCCTATTCATGTAACAGACAAGACATCCACAGCTCTGAGTGAAACAGACACTATTTCCAATCGCAACTGCGTCGTTTATCAGACGCCTATTTGAATTTCGGACTGAGAAGAGCTTGGCGCTTTCGGGCGCTCTGTATTCTGCTCAGGCCACACGGCTGCACCTGCCTCTCCACATCCTCTCATTAACTCACAGATGAGTGGCTTGACCAAACATCACTCTCATCCGCTCACATCGCTCACTCCGAGAGCTGCCATTTGGCGGTCTGAGGAGTTGCTTCATGTAAGAGATCTCTGTTTGAACAGGACTGAGCAGAATATTGCAGCGAAATGGACTGTTTTGATGAATTGCTATATATAATACATAAGGGCCTTCAGAAACGCAGGAACGGGACTGGAGAAGTGTGACTGAGAGGGGGCTGAATATCAATCAGAGATTCATTAATGCTTGCGGCTTCTGGCATACATCAGAGAGAGCTTTGCACTTAGATAGCTTTTCACATTTTTAAATGTCTCTAGCCTGCTCAACATCAGATGGCAAACTGCAACAGATGACCTAAATATTGCATATTCATGGGGGTTTCTTCTACAGTATATAGGCAGTGTGTGTTTTTAGAAAACAAACTCACACATTTCACTAGTTGAATTGCAAATGTTTGGGGGCAGTAAGTTTTTTGTTTGTTGTTGTTGTTTTTAAAGAAATTAATATTTTTATTCTGCAAAGACACATTAAATTGATCAAAAGTGACAGTGACATTTTTTATGTTACACAATAAATGCTGTTCTTTTTAAATTAAAAAAAAAATTAATCAGCAGAACTGTTTTCAACATTGATGGTAATAAGAAATGTTTCCTTAGAGCATCAAATCATCATATTTAATGATTTCTGAAGGATCATGTGACACTGAGGACTGGCGTAAAAATTCAGCTATTTGAAAATACACTCACCTAAAGGATTATTAGGAACACCATATAATACTGTGTTTGACCCCCTTTCGCCTTCAGAACTGCCTTAATTCTACATGGCATTGATTCAACAAGGTGCTGAAAGCATTCTTTAGAAATGTTGGCCCATATTGATAGGATAACATCTTGCAGTTGATGGAGATTTGTGGGATGCACATCCAGAGCACGAAGCTCCCGTTCCAGCAAATCCCAAAGATGCTCTATTGGGTTGAGATCTGGTGACTGTGGGGGCCATTTTAGTACAGGGAACTCATTGTCATGTTCAAGAAACCAATTTGAAATGATTCGAGCTTTGTGACATGGTGCATTATCCTGCTGGAAGTAATAATCAGAGGATGGGTATATGGTGGCCATAAAAAGACGGACATGGTCAGAAGCAATGCTCAGGTAGGCCATGGCATTTAAACAATACCCACTAAGGCACTAAGGGGCCTAAAGTGTGCCAAGAAAACATCCCCTAAACTATCACACCACCACCAGCCTGCACAGTGGTAACAAGGCATGATGGGTCCATGTTGCTCCATGATCCTCATCACATGCCATCATATCACAATGTCTCATTTCTCAAGCTCTTCGCTGACACTTTTGGTAAATAAGTGCACAACATTTTGATCCCATGGGAACCAAAAAAAAAAAAAAATCAGATTTTCATTTCTGCCCATTTCTCCTGCATTCAACAGGTTGATTACAAGAAGTGTAATTTTGCCAGAATGGGCAATTTTGTATTTGGAATACAAAAGCCCATTTATTCTGTTAGCATAGATTTCAAGAACATTAATTTGGTGTCAAGGGTGAGGTGAAGGCAAACCCTAGAATTATTATAATTAATCTTAACAATTCTTATCATAGTCCTATATGGATAAACCCTGTTACTGAATAAATTCCAACACAAACCATAGACAGAAAATCTGAAAAAATATCACTCTCAAATGTTTTAAAAAAAAAAATGTTGCAGTTCTGCTCAAATGGAGAATCAGGATACAAGCAGTGAGAGACCGATTAGGGGATTTCTGAAATGTTCTGTCGTGTGAGGGAGGCAGGCTGGCAATTCGGTTTTCTGTGCAGTGGGGCTGAACACTAGTTTGATGTGATCCACTATAACAGAGAACGTATGAGTAATGGTGTAGTGAATAGCAAGAGGAGATTTGATACTGTTCTGTGCTGCTGTGAAGGACATTCAACTTTAATATAAACTTCTACTTTAAAGAATTAAAAAGTTTATGGGCAGCTAAAAGTAATTTAAATGCATTTCCCCTCATTGTCAACAGCCGTGGGCTTCATTTGGAAATCTGCACGTTATTTTAATGCATATAGGGATTCATTTCTGGATTTAAAGTTCAGAACTTTTGAAAGGGTTTAAAACAGAGCCTGTAATTCTGCCCTGATATTACTTTAGTTGACTAACAATGACCATAGAGTTCACATGCCAGACTACACATGCAATGTCCAGTCACATATCAGATGTTCATGACTCAGATATGATGGCTGACACAGATGATTTAACTTAGACAGATGACTCACTTAGACAGACGTTGTCTGTGAAATAGTTCAGGAAGTCTTTGCACTGATCTCTCAGATTCCCGCTGGCTGAACACGAGCACCAGGGAGACACGTTGGATGTGGAGTTGTCCACATAGTTTGGGGTGATTGAGCTGCCTGCAATACCAAAAGGCCTGTGTGAGAATGGTGACTTTTGTGATTTCCATTACATGATCAGTACACAAAAGAGCATATATACACTGTATATCCATTTCCACAAACATAATGATTTTTATACTGTGCAAAATGTATATTTTATCCCCTAATCCTAAAAACCTTTCCATTTTTACATTTTCAAAAAAAAAAAAAAAAAAAAAAAAAAAAAAAAGAACACAATTTTGTATGATTTATTGGCTGCTTTCCTCATGGGGACCAAATAATTTTTCATTTCGTTTTTCATTTTCAAACCCATTTTTCCTGCATTCAACAGGTTGATTACAAGAAGTGATAGTTTGCTTGCCATCTTAAAGGGATAGTTCACCCAAAAATTAAATTTAGCCCATGATTTACTCACCCTAAAGCCATCATAGGTTAATAAAGAGTAACACTTGATGATGTATGACGTAGGAGTAGTGTGTATGGCCGTCTGCTGGAATCTAGTTATTTTAGTCGATAAAGTTTTGAATATGGATATTTTTTAACACTACATTTTTTAATAGAAATCCGATTGTATTCGTCTGAAAGGATGGTAGGATGGCTTCAGGGTGAATAAATCATGGGCTATTTTTTTTTTTTTTTTTTCGTTTTGTTTTTGGGTGAACTATCCCTTTAATTTACCAGACCTTGCTATGTAGCCTTGTTAGAAGAAGTATTACATCATCAGTGTATATATATATATATATATATATATATATATACATACAGTATATACACACACACTGTATATTTATATGAATGAATTATAAATATACAGTATACATATAAAATAATATTTTATATTTCAAAATCAAATTTCCTGTCAAAAATGTTTGTCGAATAAAAAGTTTTTGTTTAAAAAAGCAATTTATTTTAGGGGATTCTGTTTGCTCAATATATATCAAATGAGCGTAAGCAGAACTTAACAAACAGAAAGTGTTTAGGTAACAAAAAGCCTCATAAAAAAATATCACTTTCAATCTGTTTTATAGGGAAGTGAAATCAATCTCTCCATGACTTTGAAAGTGCCTGGGTAGTTTTATAGTCTCTAATCACAGACACACAGGTGTCCCTGTGTATCTTTGAGGAAATGAATAACAAAGGTATTACACTCTAAATTAATTACACAAGCCTTGCTCCATTTAAATGTACACGAAAAAGAAACAGCCACAATCACATGAACATCCTTTGCTATACTGAGTTGCAGAACAATTATAGAATACTCACCTATCAGTCCGGTGTAAGCAATAAGACATGCTGCATAGTTTCCCTGCTTGCAGCCGCTGGCAGACTGCTCTTCTGGCTGGCAGTCATACTGAAACTGGGCCAAACGAGACCTGAAGAACAGACACAACTGTTATATGTATGGGCAGCAGCCAAGTAGACAGAAACATCCTAATAAGTGTGTCAGCCATACTGACATACACATGAAGACAATCACCAACATGGTGTCAATCTGCTTCTCAACTGGATTCACTTCACAATACATTTTAAAATAAACTGGACATCAAATGACATCCCAAAACAGAAACTTTTTTTTCACATACAAAAGTAAAAACATTATGGGCAGCATATTCCCCCACTTTTAGACTCACTAATTTTAGATATTTGGATTTTTGATAATTCACTCTTTTTATTTCCATGACACTGCCAGTGACCTGCGACCAGTTGATTTAAATGCCAAAATAATGACAACGACTTTGATAAATATAGTCATCCTCATAATCATTACGTGCTGCATTTCTTGACATTATTCACTAAGACATCTGAGTCAGTTAATCTGTTATTGGAAGGGAGAAAATGCTACCTCACAACCTTCAAAGCTGAACTGTTTAGATCCTCTCTTTAATACCAATGAATCATCAACAGATGGTTTTATTTCTGTTATGCATAGTTTCTGCTGTATACTGTTTGGGGATCCATAATAGTATGTCATTATTATGCCAATAAAGTATTGATGAAGATGTTGAATCTGATTTCCTCTAACTTTTTATCTGGCACGGGTTTGCAGCTTTACTTCGAAAACATTATCATAGCTTGACTGTCCAATGGGCATTTTTACAGACATGGATTACAAGGAATTTGAAGAAATGCTCTTTTCTTATCTGCAGTAATACATGAGTACTCTCTTTGCTCTAGACAGCTATAGAAAAGCCACAGCTTCCTTTGCCCTGAGAAAAGAGTGCACGTAAGGTGAGTTTTTTTTAATCCTGCCGCCCACATGGTACGTGCCCGTCCAAGCTCAAAGAGAGGAGAGGCCTCCGAAACTGACCTACAAACATAGTCTGCCTTACAGATCCTCATCTGGGAGAGGCAGCTGGGTTTATCTTCTCCCTCATAGGAGCAGCTGGGCACAATGGTCTGTCGCCGTCTCTCTGAACAGGCCATGTCACTGCAAGGGCAGAACAGCAGCTCGTGGGTGTACTCCGGAGGCACACGGTCGAAGAACCGCCGCAAGGCCTTGTTGCACCTTGATTGGTTACACAAACCCGACTTGGTGGATGGCTTGATGCATGTTGACACATACTCCGTGCGCAGTTTCTGGCACACATGGTCGATGTTGCAAGCTTTGGCCGCATCCAGGCAGCGGTTCACTGTTGTCATCCCGACCTCGGAATCTGTGGAGAATTCAAATGTTTCTCAAATTCAATCTTTAGGACTGACTGAAGTGATAAAATCAGGTCTGCTTGGTCACACAGTGTAGATAATATCCAGTTGGTCTCAGCCTCATTGTATAAACCAAAATTCTGATGACAAAATTGGTTTTCTGTACTGCCAGTCGAGGAGAATAAATTATTTTTGCCACATTTTTTATTACTGCGCTATGATTCATTTTAGATACACTTGCTCCTAAGCACCAACTAAAACAAAATTAACTTGGGTTGGTTGTTTTACGTGTCAGTCAGAGAGTCTCTACCTGTTTAAATGGGTGGTTATTGGCCAGAATAGACTGGACAAGACTTTACTCCAAAGGCAGTGTTATGGGTGCCCCTTGGTTGAAATTGCGTTCCAGTTATGTTGAGGAAATCGGAATGCCGAATCGTCACCACCTTTCTCCCCTCTGGCCCTGGTTGTAGTCGGGACCAGAGTCCAGGCCGAGACTTGAGTAGGTTGAGTCAAGAAAAAGAGGGTCGAGGCAAGACAGAGACCTGAAGAGGGTCTGAATGATTCAGACAGTGCAGTTATGGAATCAGTCTCAAATCTGAAACAAGACCAAGGCTCAATCTCAATTCACCCCTTGCCCCTATCCCTTGGCCCTACCCCTCGGTTTTGCGAGTTCAGGTCTAGGGGTAGGGTGTCCTGATTCTTGTTGAGATCGAGGGGTAGGGCTAGGCCCTCGAAACTGAGATTTTTCAGAGGCACACTCCAATCGGAGGGCTACGAGAAAGTTCACATAATGCATCGCAAAACACCGGCGAGATGGCTTCGCAAACATTTAAATTCAGTGCCAGATGATATCACCATGCACTTTATTTACTCTGATAATAAGACATACATTTCGAGGAAGGAATGTTATAATCATCATGTTTCCTTAAAGTTAAGAGCAGCTGCGCTGATTGTCAGTCGTTGTCATGGAGAAATTCTATAAAAACTCTGTAACAGCAGAGCCATCACCAACGCAGTGGATCACCGGCACAATGGATAAGACACATGCCTTTGGCTTGAGAGACCCGGGTTCGAATCCACTGCGAGACACCAATGTGTCCCTGAGCAAGACACTTAACCCCTAGTTGCTCCAGAGGCGTGCCACCTCTGACATATACAACATTTGTAAGTTGCTTTGGATAAAAGTGTCAGCTAAATGAATAAATGTTGTAACTCTGTTTTAAGGGTCAAGGATTACACTCAAAAACAAGGGGTAGGTGAATTGGGATTGAGCCTAAGGGTGCTTTCACACTCTATTTAATTACTTGGTCTGATTGCTCCTCCCACTCCCTGCCACAATTAGATTGTGTTTACACGGTATATTTGGGTCCAAACCCGCTGTACATTTCTGTCATTAAAGTGGCAGCTGTTTACCCCTGTTACTATGTGAAGAGTTCAGATGCAAAAGCCTCTAAATGCCATTTGAAATTTTCTAGAATGGTCATTTTTATAAAGCTTGTATATTTAAGTTCAGTAATTTCACTTAAATGGCAATTAATGGGTAATCTTCATTGCCATTTAAGTGAAATTACTGAACTTAAATATACAAGCTTGATAAAAATGATCATTTTAGAAGAAAATTTCAAATGGCACTTAGAGGCTTTTGCATCTGAACTCTTCATGTAATGACAAAGCAGTAGAAGGCTGAGGCGCACGTCATTAAAGGCACACTATGTAATTTTTCGCCACTAGAGGTCGTTTATTCAACACAAAGACGTAGCTTAATGACGCCTTTGTACTCATGGTAAATCAAGAAAAGTAAATTTAAACAAAAAGACTAACTGTGTTAAGCTGTAAAACAATTATTAGTTTTCTGTCAATGAATATTTCCAAATAGTTGCTCACCTTTGTAATAAATCACATAATATATTAAAGTCTCTTTGGTGTTTCCATGGTTTCTTCAAAATATAACCGGAAATTGAGGTTAACAAGGTAATGATGTCATTGATAGGATAATGTAAGTACACAAATCAACAAAACCAATCAACACCAGACAACCTTTCTGAAGCGGATTTGGGAGTTTGGAAAACTGTTAATCGAAAGTTCTAGTGTGAAAGCACTTAAAGTCCAAATGCTCCCAAGTTCATGATAAGACTGATCGGGTCTCAAATATTATAGCACAGGTCAAAGGTTTGGCTAAATAATGTTCAGTATAGACATATGACAAGAGGATGAAAATATTATGTGAAACTGCATGTCCATCCTGACATTTTGACTCATAACGGACAGAATAAGTATCACCATACAGCGGCACAGAGTGAGTAGAGATGAGTGGCCATTTTCAATGCACAAGGTTTTGTGGGACTACAAATGGAAAGGAGCAAATTGGGAAAGCGTCAAAACTGTGAGAAACTTTGTATTTAAATGAGAGTTGAAGAATGTGTGCTGACAGTCAATCTCTGTGAGGCTTTTTGCTGTTCAGCCTACAAACAACTAAATGGATTTGAGTCGGATACATCAAAACATCAGACTTCAATGGTTCTTTGCAGCACCTTGTTCCTCTTTTCAAGACCAATTTGGCTGGATCAGTCTTCTATTGCTATAAGGATCTATTGATATTTAAAAGATGTTACATTTGGCTCATTAAATCAGTGTTTTGACTTTGGGTCTTTTTGTTTTCTATATTTCTTTTTAGTTTTAAACTAAAAAGAAATATAGAAAACAAAAAGACCCAAAGTCAAATAGTTTTAGCAACACTGCCTAGGCTGTAAATCTGCAACTGCATTTTAGTGGCATGTTAAAAGTATTGAGAATAAAACTGTAACATTGCGAAAATTCATTTTTGAGAATAAAATGTTTCGAAAAGAGTTGAAATTATGATAATGAAGATTAGAATGTGTAGCATTCACAGTTTTCTCATATTGTCATTATGACTTTTTTTTATAATTATGCGTATTTGGCCTGCTGTTCGATGGGGAGGGCTCTGAAGTATCTGAACAGTTCACTCTGAAAAATGCTGGGTTGTTTTGAAATATGGACAAACCCAGCCATTGGGTTACATTTTTAAATTACATTTTTAACCCAATGGCTGGGTTTGTCCATATTTTACCCAAAATTGGGTTAAAACAAACCAGCATTTTTTAGAGTGTACAGGATTGAAGAGATGGGGTGGTGGAGGGATGCAGGGACAGAGGGTACATACACCATCTCTCGCACTAATTTAAATGGTTATCTGTACGGGCTCCTCCCGAACTTTGTTAATAAAACATCATGTTCTGAAAAAAAGGAAATGCAGGGGTAATGTAAGATGTTCAGACAACTCAAATAAGCAGACTACTCTGAGGCACAACTCATTACGACCAAAGGAAATGCCTCTTGATGTGAAAGGAGATGAAACAAATGAAAAGGAAAGCAGTAAAAACATCTTTCCAAGAAATCATTTTATTTCATTGCCATTAATAATCACAGAAGAGCCTAGAATGTCTGTCCATATCATTCAGATAAAAGCTTTGTTGATTCTTAGTGAGATGAACAATCCAGTCCAGACACAAAGCTTCAACAAACAAACGGAGACACTGACTAATTTCCAAGACAGCTGAGCAACAACTAAAGGAAATGACAATGAAAACAAGTTTCAGAGCAACGCCAATACACAACGACCGAGACTCTCCCACACTGGAGTTACATTTGCACTGCTAATACACATGATAATGAGATGTTCTGGGAACCATGACATTTGAAGTTAAGATTATTGTATAGGGTCCCTGTGTGTTGCCAGTGTGCATGTGTGCGTGTTTAATTATTTCTAACTGTTCCTTTTTTGTTAATTAATTATTTTTCTAACCCATAAGCTCCATTCTAATCAGTCACACTACAAAGAGGATCTAGATAAAGACACATACATTGAAATTAAATGTTATGATTACATCCATTGCAATACATTTTTCTCCCTTCACATGTACGTCAAGGTTTTACATTGTTTCTTTTACATTCTATTTCACAAACGCACATTCTTTTTCATTAAAGAGGATTTTCATTGTTTAGTATATCAGTTTTGCATTACTAAAGCGTTATTTAAAAAGTCAGGTTGTGCAGTGAATTGCCATATTGTATTAAATTGATCTTACCTGCGGTGATGGAGGCTAGACGGACAAAGTCATAGCCTTTCTGCACTGCTTCATATGGATAGTTCTCTACCAGGTTAAGCCCTGCAAGAACAAACACCTTGTTTCAGAAATGAAATTCTTTATTAAATGTTTTATAGAGAACAATAAATATTAGGGAATCATGTGGAGTCCAGCAATACTGTTTTTATTCTGTTTTTATGTTTCAATACTAGGTGTTTTTAATCAAAAACAGGCATAATGAAGTTTTATTTACAATGTCATAAGGTGTGACTTGATAGCAGATGTAGTTAGAATTATCCCATTTACAATACACCACAGCTTTGACTGCATTCAAAAGTTGCTGTGTATTCTTACAAATCTAAAACTTTCTACATGCACTTGAAATACTTATATCACAGTAGATGTTTTGTCTGTGCCTGATTTTTAAAGGGTTCTTTAAAGTGTGAAATGGGTTTATATTTTTACAATCTATATATCGGTGAGATTTCATTCTGGGCTAGACATGGCAAGAAATGCATGAAAAACCAGTCAATCGATAAAATGTCCTGTTGCGGAACTTGCAGTTGCTTAGTATATCAACTTTGATTAAATTTACAAGAGATTCTATCGCTTGACACTTTATCAGGGGTGGTAAAAGTACTCAAAAGTTATCCTCAAGTAAAAGTATAAATACCTAAATAAAAACTCCAGTAAAAGTAGAAAGTCTTCCATTCAAACATCACTTGAGTAAAAGTACCCGATTTCAAACGTACTTACCGAAAGTAAAAAGTAAATATTCAAAGTAACTGTAAATGTTTCTGCAGCCTACTGCCATGCACTGTTTATCCACTGTGTATCCAGAACCGGCTTTAGAGTGAATGTTGTCCAATTGTAACGCTTGCCGTAAAGTCAAATTTTGTAGTTTTCTCATGTCTCATTCGAACTACAAAAAAACGCAACCCGATCAGGCAAACTTATATAATGTGGTTCTAGCAGATATAGGACCAAAGTGCCTTTCAACCTGTTACGACTTGATGAACCGCTGAAACGATTTTGGAAACACTATTTTAAGGTAAAAAATCTTCTTTAGTGCTGCTTTAACGTTAACTCACCTCAATGTGTTTTTTTTTAGATCTGAGGGTGAAGTTTTGAATGCTGAAATTTCATTCACCCGTAGCAGGCAAAGACGACATTTCAGCCGATATAAATCTCCTTCAGTGAATTCGAACATATCATTGATATGGCCATGGGTGATCCCTGTCGTAAATCTTGGGATCATTGCTGGCAGTGAGAGCTGCACCTTCACCTGTTTCTGCGGTCAATGGCGAACTGACTGCTATGTGAGCGTATGCTGGCAAAGAGCTTGCGCGTTCTTTTTTTCAAAAGAAAAGCAAGTTTTTCGTTGGTTTGGAAAGCTAGTGTAATAAATACTTGCAGAGGGCATGGGTAAATGTATCGGAGTAAAAAGTAAACTTTGTCTTTAAAATTGTAGTGGAGTAAAAGTGAAAGTAGATGCAAATAAAACATACTCAAGTAAAGTACAGATCCCCGAAAAAACTACTTAAGTAAAGTGACAAAGTATTTTTACTTCATTACTTACCACCACTGCACTTTATTGTGTTGTGTCTGGCATTGTGTTTAATGTACATTTTCCATTCTGTCGTTGACAGCTTTAAGAATTCATTTGTGAATGACTGCTGAACACCAATGTAGTTCACACTTCATTAGGAGAGGTAAAGTTACTCAATACTGAATATGTGTTTGTAAGGCAGTCATACATTATATGTTATTATTATATGACAATTTCTGCAGTTATTTTCAAAGCTTTGTTTCAATAAACAGTTGGGGACTGGATTAGGGTTAGGTTATACACTTATCCTATTATGCCTGCTACAGTGTGATTATTACAAATCACGCTGTATGTACTGTATGACGTATAACTTGGGTACAACATGTATGTAGACTGTGAGATAATGACAACTATTGAATTGTAGGCTACGGCACAAGTGAATATAGAATAGAGCCAGACCGATATATCGGCAGCCCGGTATTATCGGCCGATATTAGGCATTTTCTAAAATATCGGTATCGGCAGTTATAATGGCAGATAAATGGATATTTCAAAAATAAAATAAAAACTGACGAATCATGCTTCAACCATGTCATGAGTGTTGTCAAAAAGTGCAGGTAAAGGGATAAGCAAGCTGATTATAAGGTAATTATAAGGTAGCTTACAACTGTAAGGCAATGTAGGGACTAATTATTATTTTTTTTATCAGAACTTTAATATATTTTGATGTTCCTCTGTTCTGTTGTGACAATAGAAACAAGTTTCTTTTTTAAATGCATTATCATATTATTTTAGTTAAAACTCATACGTAAATAACTACAAATAACTAATGTTAGGGAAATCTGTTAATATTTTGGTGCGCGTTTCTGAGATAAATATAATAATAATATCGGCCGATATATCGAAATGTCGGATTTTAAAACCAACAAATATTTGTCTCGGTATCAGCCTTCAAAATCCTTTATCGGTCTGGCTCTAATATAGAATAATAAAATGTCATCAGCATGGCAATTGCAGTCATGGCTAGGGAAAAGAGGCCAACTTGGCATGCCAATTTTGCAAATGGAGCTTGAGGTATGTGGTTTTATATTATAGTGCCATGTCGCATTGATCAGTATGCTATTTCATGTTGCATTTTTATTGGCTAATCAGTAGCAGTAACACTGTGAGATGATTATGCTAAATCTATGACATTGTCAGCCACTGTCGCAGGTTATCATTGGTTGAAAAACCGTGACAACAGCCATCTTTGAACCTCTCGAATGTATGACTTAGGACCACCGTTTAGAAGGGACAGCCTAAAATCATACAATGTGTTCTGGTCATGAATAAAATGAATGATTTCTGATTAATCATGCGACACTGAAGACTGGAGTAATGATGAGGAAATTTCAATTTTACCAAAACAGGAATAAATTACATTTTAACACATTCAAATAGAAAACAGTTATTTGAAATAGTAAAAATATTACACAATATTACTGTTTTGAATGCATGAAAAATAAACCTCGGTGAGAATAAGACACTTCATTTAAAGGGGGGGTTGACTGCTTTTTTTCTTTGCATGATTGTGTTAATGGGGTGCAATATAACATGTTTTCATGTTTTTTCTTTTTTAAACAGTCTTATTTTTCATAAACTTCACCTTTCTTGTCAGCCGCGCTCTTCTCTGTCCTCGGACGAGCGGTCGACTTCCTGATTCTATGAAACCACTCCCTCAGAAACAGGCAGTGGGCTCAGATTGGTTAGTTTGGGCCGGTGTGTTGTGATTGGCTAAACTGTCGCTCACGTTGTCCGGAAGGTTAACCCCCATTACCTTTACGGGCGAAACGTGCATGTCATGAGCTCCGGTCCAGATGTAAATAATGGTGTCGAACTGCAGTATCAGTTTGAGGCAGCTCAGACCGAGAAAGCCGCGATGAAGAGAGTCAAACAGAACCTCGCCACACACGGCTAAACGTTTCTGAATGATAATTTGCTACATTTTTTAACTTTATACACGTTTGTTTAACACAATAGCATCTGACCGGCAACAATAGCAACTGACTGGCTACTAAACAGCATTGGCATTAGTTTACGTTCTTGATCAAATCGAAAATAACGTCATAAAGCATATATACATGAAAAATACATTTACAACATTAGCACTTATACAAAATTCAGGTCCATAATGTTTATACGCGTTTGTCGTAGACACAAAATAGCATAACTAGTAGCCTAGTAGCTATAAAGCCAGCGCTGGCATTTGAAGTCTTAGCCTACTTACAGGTTGTGGCCCAACAACTGCTGCCTCTGGTTTTAAAGTTGGAACTGCTTCATGTTTTAGTAACAGTTTCTTGTTGAATCCGGCATTGAATTCGTGGAGATTCTGTCTTCCGTAAAATTCGCAGCACAGAGAGCTAGATTACGATCGTCACTTTCAGGAACATAATCAATCATAAATTGTATCCATTGTTAACGAAGTACAGCATCCGTGGGAAGCTCGAACACAGAAGACCTGAATGCCGGGTGAACATAACACACTCGACGAGCCGCAGAAATATGGTCATGCCCTTTTTTGCATATTCCGGAGGGTATATAATGATGTAAATGTGTGGGTTAGTAACGTCTAAAACCCAGCTGTAGTCGTTTTTGTAGGCAATATACTTCCTGATTTTTAAAAGACGATATCTCTGATTACACTGAACTTTCAGCGCTGCAACTTTGCAGATACTGTTCATGCACCAACAGCAACATTACACACTATTTAAAATCCAAAAAGTGAAATCGCAATCAACCCCCCCCCAATACAAAGAAAGGCATTGTTGTGTTACTCACCATGCATTCCAGATTGGTGGAGACTCCAATATATGCTGAGACAGTTTTTCTCTCTCTTCATGCCTCGTCTGCACTGGCAGCCGTGCAGAGGGCTGGACAACAGCGCAGAGACAGCATTTGCACACTGACTGCGGGCCCCAGGACCGAGTTTCATGCTGCCATTCCCGGCAACGCATTGGCGAAGGGTCCGAAGGCGCGGGCTGCAGGTCTCATCACTGGAACAGGTGTCTCCCGCTATAAGACAGTCTCTCCCCGCAGAAAGCAGTACCTGCCAAGCTAAAGGAAATGGGCTTAATTTAATAAGGAAGGGATCTGGTTTTGACAGATGTGGTTTCATATGTATACTGTACTTTACCGAAATCATTAGGAGAGCAAACAACCAACGAGTTTAAGTGGCTGGTAAGTGGTACTGCAGCATCATAAACAATGGCCAACATTCAAAAAGATCCCCATTTCCACACAACACGCCTATCAAATAACCATCAGGTTTCACTGGCCACCCTCAAACACCTACACTTCATTAGATACAATCCCATCCCATCTGCTGTTCAAATGTTATTATTCACTTTTACTAACGACAGCCTGCTTATCCAGGTCTGTACTGTACATATTTATATGTATGCTTTTGTTTACTTATGTAAACCCTTTGTAAATTGTATATTTACTTGAATTGTATATTGACATGTATATGTAGTAACTGTCTAGATTGAGAAGTATAACTTTGACAGAGCACAAAATATTCAATTTTAATTGCAGAAAAGTTGGGAAAATGTCTGACAAACATGATTGCGATACATTTGGGTCATACATATTCAAAATATTTTGAATTAAAATATTATTCAAATTTAGGAACGAATGGTAGATATTTTAGCCACTTACCTACATCTATTTTGCATGAGAAAACACATTTGTTTTTATCGTATTCATTATGTATTACTTGGGGAAATCAAAATGACTTTTTCTAATACTGGATGTAACTAGGCATTGCTTAAAGAGTCAGAATGAATGCATTTAAATAAAAGAATAGATGTGAGACGTTTCCTGAAATACATACAGACAGATACATAAAATATACTTCAGGTTGCAACACCATCTGTTAATCCCCTGATTAAATTCAACGAGAAAAGTGCTCTGAACTAAATTCAAACAAAATGAGAAAATACATTATTTCAACATCTAACAGATTTATGCATGTGCTAGTGTTTTGGACTAATGACATCGTCAAATAAGAAGTAAAATCACAACCACATTTTTGGACCGAAAAGCAAATAACCAGCTCACTGTTGAAAAGCATCATTGCATGTCTTTGACATGGCTTTTCATCCATCAGTGTGCTTGTCTGTATATATTTTTGTGATGTTTTTCAGCCTCAGTCGGGAATAGCAGAACCTGTGGGCTGGTATTTTGTTCCCAAAAAACTCAAAGGCTTTCTGACAGATGCAACCATATGCAGAGAGTTTTGTGGAGGCAGGGAAGGCAATGTATCATGACTACAGACATGAGAATAAATCAACATGACAGCAGGCAAAATGAGACTTTCTATATCTTATTAGAGCATTGTTCAACATTAGTGCCTGAGCTGGATTAGGGAGGGAATAGTCTTTAAAAAAAAACAGCCACAGTTTGATCAAACCAAACACAATGAGACAATTCATTACTTCAATTAAACAAACCTGTCCTCTCCTTCCACCAGGCTAGGACGCATATTAATGAGGGACGTTACTTTCTTAACTTTAGTTCCTGATGCATGTGTAATTTATTCCTTGTCTTTGTTTATTCGAGATTTACATTAACGACTGGAAATTGTGGCCATGAGGGAGACATTTTTGAACTAATTCATATGGGAGTGAAGTAAAGCTTGTTTGTTAAGCCCTGAACAATTGGCCCTTGAGACTGGATTCTGTAATGTGTGATGATCATTTCTGCTCTAATGACTAGAACTGTACGGCGTGATGAATGTCATATTTTTTCCTCATTACACAAAAATCTGACACTCATGAAGATCAAGTTTAGTATAGTTACACAGCGCAGTGTGTGTGTGTGTGTGTGTAAGGCTATATAACTGTTTATGGTTCTTCAAATGACGCAGTTTCTTTGAGATACACTATATACGTAATCTTGTGGTGAACAAAACACTCCAGGGCCCAGTTTATGACCGGGCCCTTCTCTTTCCGAAACAGTGGACCAAGCTTTACTACATTTTGTTTG